GCAAAACAAATACAAAAGTAAAATAATTTTTACACTTTATTTTACATTTATTTTAACATTTTAAAAATAAATGCCCTCAAATATTTTTAAAGTGCAGCATCTGATTTAATAGGTCTCAATGATACCTGAGAATTTGTGCCTTAAAAAAGAGAAAGACCCTAATTATGTAGTCCACGATAGCCTGGATCACCCTGCTTCAGCTTCCAAGTGCTATGATTACACCTACTTTTTACTACCCTACAGATGGTGATAGGATTGCAAGCTGTAGAGTGCTTTCCAGTGGCAAGGCTGCAAAATAAAGCATAGACAAATAGGAAAACATATCATTCTTTTAGTAAATACTCTAAACAAAATGTTTAAGAAATAAGAAAAACAATATAACCTAAAAACTTGAAAATCAGTTTGAAAACTTGAACACTCAACTGTTGCTTTTGAACAGTTCATGTGATGACACTTTTGAAAATCTTCTTATTTTTCTGTCCTCCTTACTATTGTGGTAATTAGCAAATGTTTGAAACTGCTGAGGTCTACTGCCTGGTTCAAAGTCTGAATTTTCAAGATTCTACAAGGACCCATAAGCTTTTTAGAGCTCTTTAGTGTCTTGCTATAATTCGTAGTGTCATAAATACTCTTCTAATCCCATTCCTCACAGCTTGCAAAACAGAAATGTAATAACTCCTGGATTTCAACATGTACATCATCATAATTCTTGACATTCTATTATAAAAGACTATGCACCATGAAATAAACCAATTTACTATCATGTTTTTCATTTGCTATCCTAGTCATTGCTGGATCCAAGGAACTTGATAGCAATTTCCATAAAAACTCAAATTCATTCCTTTGGCAGAGCATGGAAAGCTAGTATTTTCCAATTTTTCTCAATTAAGCTTGGTCTTTTCTTTAGTCACTTTGAATGACATTGACTCTGTAGCATAAAGGGACTCTATAATCCTCAGATCTTTCATTTACAGGTCTAGTGTGGCCTGGGTCTCTAAAGTATCACTGAGCATCAGTTTCCCCAAATTTAAAATAATATTATCAACAACACAACTCTTTTGTCTATTGTATATATTTGATTCCGAATAATTTCTGTATTTGATTCCGAAAACCCAATGAGATGATAAATCCTATAATATATATATATATATATATATATATATATCATATATAATCATATCATATATATATGAAAACTCTTCTTTCTCTTTTCTTTCTGTAGCATAAATCTGCCCTAGCACCTGGGATTTGATATAAAGAAAAAAGTTTACAATCAAGCCAGGCATGGTGGCACATAATTATAATCTTAACATTTTTGAAGCAGAAAAAAATGAGGTGTGAGGATCCCACAGAAAGCTCAAGGCAAACCTGTGCTCATTTTCTACAAAACTTTGAGATGTAGACACAGCTCAATGGCAGTGCGCTTTGTCTCCAAACAGCTACTGTAATGTACAATGTACAACGCCTTGGGTTGGACTTCAAGCCTCACAAATGTTTAAACTCAAACAAAAAATTGTCTATGACACCTTAAGTGCCTTTTGAGCATAAAGGGTTAGAAACTGCTCATATTTGAAAGCAATTTAGTAAGATTCAGTTTGAAACCTGTTGGGTCTTAATAAAGCACTGCCATCCATTGGTGGATTGCACACATTATTCTGTCTCTGCTGTGCATTTCTACCTTGTGAATTCAACAAAAGTAAAACCGTGGTATTATAATCATAGTATACATACATACATATGTACATACATACATACACCCGTGCGCGCGTGTGTGCACACACACACACACACACACAATCCTGGGGATCCAACCTAGGGAATTTTGCATGTGGGACATGCACTCTACCATGGATCCAACCTAAGGCATTTTGCATGTTGACTATGTACCCTACCACTGAGCTGCCTCTGACTCCCTAAGACAACTCTATTGACTTTTTTCAAAAGATAAACGCATTGTGCTAGATTTTCCATGCTGTGAGAAAAATGCCTGAGAAAATGATTGAAGGGAGGAAGGATTTATGTAGGCCTGTGTTTTCAGAGTCTCCGTCCATAATTTATAAGCCATGTTGATTCTAGGCTAGTGCTGACGCAGTCCATCACAGCAACTGTACCATATAGCAGAAGCTGCTCACCTCCTCGTAGACCAAAAGCAGAGAGAGTGAAGGAACAAGGATCCAAGTGGAACTTTCAAAGGCATACCATCAGTGATTCCTTCCTCTAGGGCTACCTCCTAAAATTTCTGTAAGTTCCCAAATAGTTGTGAACCAAGAGTTCATTGAACACCTGAGTCTGTGGGTGACATTCCGGCATAGTCTTGTCAAAACTGCATGACTTTCCTTAGCCTGGAAACTGCCCTATTTTCTCCTTACTTTCAGTACTCGTAAGAGAATTCAGTTCCAATGATACTGAGTAGCATTTGATTCTTCTTTCTGAAGAGTCCTAGAATAGGAGGGTTTATAGAATGAGGTGTTTTATAAAAAGTCTTGAATAGTTTACTTGAATATTTAAAATATTTCTTCATATAAAATTATGTAAAAACTATTCATAGTATCATACTCTACAAATGCTCTGTCATATCTGCATTTATTTTCTGCAGAATCCATTGCCAGCCATAGACAGTCACCACGACTCTAACACCTACCCTGAAGCATGGCGGCCTGAGCTCCATCCCTGGTACCTACATAGTAGAAGGAGAGACCTGACTGTCACAAGTTGTTTGACAGGACCACAGTTGCTTGTGTGTCTGCCCAAACAGCTAAAGGATACATAATTAAACATTTTAAACCAAGCAACTGTTTTACTATAGCTATCTCTCAAATGTTAGATAAGACATGCTATTCTTAAAGTATTTTTCACTGCATACATAAAAGTCATACTAACTGATGTGGGGAGGTAGTAGGCACATGTGAATAACGTATTGCATATTTCTGATGTGTACCAGATTGACATAGCAGCTTATGCCCAGAAACAAAAGCAACTCCCTGGCATAATTAGGTTAGCATATCAGAATGAACAGGCAGAATGCTGAGACTCAATCCTACCCAAAATGTGGAAAATAAGCAATGAATATGGGCCCAGCTCTAAACAAGCCACTTATACCACCTTCTACTGTTCAGGGAACATTTCAGAAGAGATAACAGGATGTATGCAATAGTGGAAAGTCTACAATAATTCCATTCCTTAGACTCCATACAGTCACTGTAATCATTAACTCATCTCAACTGCAGTTACCTGCAATAGGCTCACACAAGGCTAATGCTCTCAACAAAGAGTAAAGGAAGGAGGAAAGGATCAAGGAACTCTACATTTTACCTCTGAATTATTGACTACCGACAAAGTCTGAGAAAGGAGGAATTACTTTCTTTAGTTGTGTGCCCTCTACTGAGCTTATAAGGTTTCAACAGATAGCTCCAAACTGCAATCACAGACAGCCTTAGTTAATCAGGGTGGATCACAAAAAACAAAACAAGTAGACATGAACTCACAAGAGAGACTCTGGAAAGGAAAGAAGATAAAGGTGTTAGGGAGAAGAGAGGTGAAAGTGCCAGTATACAAAATATACATATGGGAAATTGTAAAATAGTTAAAATATGTAAATCAGAATAGGCAGGGAAATAATGAGGAACTGCAATCTTAGACCTCATCTAACCAAAGAGCATATTTCCAGGATTAGATAGGATTCTTTTATTTCTTAAATTGATCACTTTATTGAAAACTCAACTGCTGTAGATTTTATCAAATCTCCCTCTTTCAAATTCATGGCCTATTTTCTTTAATTTTTATTGTTGCTTTCTCTCTCTCTCTCTCTCTCTCTCTCTCTCTCTCTATATATATATATA